TCTACTACCAAACTACATCTCTGTCCATTTTAAATTTTTATTTTGAGACAAGGTCAAACTAAGTTGCCCAGACTGGCCTTGAACCTGTGATCCTCATATCTCAGCCTCCCGAGTCACATGTGCCACTGTGTCCAGCAGTACTGTCATTTTTTAATTCAAATTTCCAATAGTAGAACATGCAACATTGTCAACATATCTGTATTTTTATATGCCTTAATAAATATATAGAACATTTGTGGTATCTTTAGAATGTGTTTACACCTGACCTTCTCTTTGTTCAAAGTATTTCATAAACAGAGTAACAGACTTAGAAAAGTGAAATAACTTGCCTTCAAGTTAGCAAAGCTGGTAAATAGGAATTGAGAAACTAAAAACAGGTCTGTTTGCCACCAAAGCCTGTGACTAAGCTCAATGCACACTGTAAAAACTCAAATTTGACTAAGAGATCAAAATTGGGATGAAAAATGAAAATTGAAATTAATGACTAAATTTGTATAAAGCAAATACCTTTTTCTCAAAAATAATGTAGCTAAGTAACAAAGAAAACACTTACAAAATATTTGGAGGTAAAGCTTGATTGGAGAAAGAAAGATTATTATTAACCTTTTGGAAACAGAAACTAAACTTACTCTCGGAGTAGGTGACAAGCTCTGAACCACGAACACCACGGGGTTCCCGGAGTTCTTAATGGCCTCAACTGCTTCATTGTGCGAGGCATTCTGCAAATCTACTCCAGACACCTGAAACACAAGTGATTTAGTCTTACTGGAAAGGCATTAGATATTGTTGGTAGGTTAATTCAAAGTTCATGTAAGTTGAGAACAGCCAGAGTCTATTGATTACACCACAGCCAGGAAAAAAAAAATAATAATAATAAGATTGGCCCATAAAATGCTTTGCCTTTTTTAGAAAAATAACACTTCAACTTCAGGAAAATTAATATGACAAATACATTATTAACAACGGCCCTGGTTAAATATAATGATCCAAAATTGGTAGAGCATGGTACATAATTAATTCCCTTTGTATGGCAATTGTGAAATAAGTTATTGTGTATGATAGAACTTTAAGTTCTCACTCTGTCATTAGCACAGTACACAATTCTGGGGATGTGGAGATGCTGGGGAATCTCTTTCTGGACTTTTGCTATCTCACCACTAAACTGACAGGAATATTTTAAAACCAACTGCCTATTATCACAATTGAGAAGTTGAATATTTTTCAAATTGTGTTAAAATAAAAGTACCCTAACAACATAGAACACTTTTAGTAAAAGAGCCTGTGTTCAATAAATTTGGGTAACTCTAAAGGGTTCCTTAATATAGAAAGTGGGGAAACCTAACTTGTTAACACGGTCTATGTACCTCCAAGAACACTATATTAAGCAAACCTAATTAACACTATCAATGTTAATGCTGTAAGGGGCGGAAGTTTTGGTCATTTTCTTCACTACCACATTATTATTGTGTTTAAGAAATGTATTTCATAAGCACAAATACAAGTCTAACACTCCTCGCTCAAAAAATTCAAAATCTGAAACTCTGTAAAGCACTGATGGGTTACCGCAATTAGAAAACTCCATACCTAACTAAGCTCATGCAGCAGGTTACAATTACAAGTGCACTAAAAATATTACATAAAATTACCTTCAGGTTTTGTGTGTAAGGTATAAATGAAACAAATGATTTTTGTGTTTAGGCTAGAGTCCCATCCCCAAGATAGTGCAGCATGTATATGCAACACTCCAAAATCTGAAAAAATCCAAACTCCAAAATACTTCTGGTCTCAAGCATTTCAGATAAGGAACACTCAATCTCCATAACCCCAGATTTGTCCACACAGAGCAAGTTGACGTAGTTCTTTGATTTAATCTTCATGATGATGTCAGTAGGTTTGAATTCTCAATTCCAATTTATTTGGAAACTAAGAATAAGGCGGGACTAATAATTTATGGAACTTTGACTCATGACCTCTAGGGCCCTTTGCATTCTACCAGAAACCATAAATCAAGGACAAGCAGATTCTTGGATGAGAGATACTAACTATAATGTCATCTAATATATCTAGCACAAGGAAAATCACATTCCAATCCTATGACATCTCTTTGCTTTGATGTGCCTTTAAAATTTGGCCCCTCCAAAGCCTACCACACATAGACCATGGATCCCCCCTTCCCTTGATGGAGGCTTCAACTTTGAAGGGTGGACTCCTTTCTCCAGGCAAGCACACATATTCCACTGAAACACAATTATAAACTTTAGAGCTCATTAAAGACTTGGGAGAAGCATAATGCTCACCATCTGCCCAATTCTATATAGAGCCCCCTTTTAAACTGTCATTTTCAATCAGCTGAGGGTTTTTGTTTTATCATATTATTTGTTCTTCTCTACACTTGAGAAACTCACAAATTGTAATACAACATCTGAACTAAGGCATATAAATAGAACAGACCAATTATATATACATGCACCGACACGTGAGGAAAGGTCTTCTGGCTACGATTCTTTTACTGTCTCAAATATGTTTCAAACAAAAACAATATTTTAGCATCATTTACCTCAAGGATTTTATCTCCAGTTTTAAGTGCATTTGTTTTTCCTGCTGGACTATCTTCTAGCACCTGTTTGATGAATATACCTTTAATTTCCTCTCCATTCTTTAGGCGTTTTATAACCGTTTGTCCACCAACAATACTGATACCAAGAGACACGTTGGGTTCTCTAAAAATCTCAACACTACAAAAAAGAGAAAAATAAAATCCACTCGTGAACGAGTTAATTTTTTGCACTGTAAACATTCAATGTATGCCACATTCTTGTGACTTATTTTTAAAAATAAATTTTCTAAATATATTTTTACAAATGTTATAGGAATTGTACCTAGTTCCAAAATTACAAGATGCTATCAATTTATGACAAGTGAAAGTTTATGTTCTAAAACAGATAGATCTCTAAAACATAAAAACAGCTCTCGAGGTTTAGAAAAGGTTTAGCTAGGCCTCAAAGCTTCCATCTCCTATTACAATATGTTTTCTGTGATTAGTCCATCTCCTTTATATCCATTACATTAGCAGAGAATGGACTGAGAAAATGAGATGGGTTAAAACATCAAGAAAGTCACACATGCCATTTTAGTAAAAAGCTCAGACTTCTAGAATAAAATAAACTTATCACTGAGAGGTTCACAGCACAAAGTGCTACTCCAAATCAGAAGGTTAACCCTGTGGTTCTTCAAACATAGCACAGATGTTATCTGCTCCTAAGGCCAGAAAGTTTTCTTTTCTTTCCACCACCATGTCATTTTAAAAAGAACATATGGAATAAAATTTGCCTTTGTAAATATTATGGATTTTGCTTAAACCATAGAGATTTGACCAGTAATTAACTCATATATAAACGGAACTCAAGAAACAGCTCCTAAGAGTTTTTAAGACAAAACTCAGAATTCAATTGCAAGAAAAGAACAGACGGGCTGGGTGGTACTGGAAGAATTAATAATGCATAAAGAATGGAGAAAGCAGCTAAAGGAAGACTTTTACCTTCTTAAAATGCGGCCCTGGTGAGTACTTAAAACAATAACCATAATCAAGGGAAGATCAGTTTACACATTGTTAGTTCAAACAAGGCACAGACTTCAAGTCCCCACTAGGGGAGGAAGGAAGAAAAACCTACAGCCATGGTCACTGCTGTTTACATGAGGGCAGCGTCACCATGTCTGAAACAGTGCCACCCAACCCACTGAAAGAGGCAGAATAAAGTACATTTAGTCCATTAGTTTCTACCATAAGTGGATATTAAACTATTTCCTCCGAAAAAATATCACAGATTTTCCTAATATTAGTCTTTTATTCTGGCTAAAAAATCACTAGATAAGACAAAATGAAACTAAAATTTAGGCCATCTTACATGTAAATGACCACAATTGTGCAATCATTAGAGTGTGACTAAATAATGCTCTATTAAGACAGAGGAGCATGCAGAGAATGTGCTTCTATATAGAACGCCAATAACATCACCCACGTACATTCTTGGTGGACCCCAGTGGCTGAAGTTCGGTGTTTCTTCTCCTTCACCTTCTTCTCTCTCAGGTAACTCACTGAGGGGGAGAAAGGAAAAAAAACAACAACTTTTAAGACATACTCTTATTCTGAAAGGTTTGTGGAAAGTTTTCAAATTGCACAATCTATACAGTGCTGTTTTAGTCTGCTTTTTCACTGCTGAGACTAAAACACCTGACCAAATCAATTGTAGAGCAGGAAAAGCTCATCTGGGGGCTCACAGTTTCAGAGGTCTCTGTCCGTAGGAGGCTGGCTCCATTCCTTAGGGCTCTAGGTGAGGGAGAACACCATGCCAGAGAAGAGTGGCAGAGGGAAGCAGCTCACATGATGATCAGAAGGCAGAGACAGACTCCACTCATGAGATACAAAATATATACCCCAGAGGCACACTCCCAATGTCTACCTCCTCCAGCCATATACTATCCACCTTCAGGTACCATTCAGTTAATCCCTGTCATGGATTAATTCACTGATTGGGTTAAGACTCTCACAACCCAAACATATCTCCTCTGAACCTCCTTGCATTGTCTTACACATGAAATTTTGGGGGATACCTCACATCTAAACCATAATTACTGCTGAATGGTTCTTAATCTGAAGCTGTATGTGCGTGTGCGCTACGGGGGATTGAACACAAGCCCTCACACATGGTAGGGAAGTTCTTTACCACCACCTCCAGTTTTTTTGAGATAGGGTCTTGCTAAGTTGCCCAGGCTGACCTCAAACTTGTGATCCTCCTGCCTCAGCCTTCCATGCAGGCAGGATTACAGGCATGTACCACAATGCTCATTTTTATGCTTTCAGAATATTTCCATCAATAAATATACAAAAGAAACATATATTGTTTTAACATTCAACACAACAAATCCTCACATATAAAAAAACCATAGAATGATTATTGGTGACACTCTACATGTGATTTTTCTTAAAAAAAAAAACTGTTCGATTTGTACAATCTCACATTTGTTTATCAATAGGTAAAATGTTTCTTAAAACTTAGTATTACTTTGCAAGGGCTATGGGTTATTAATGGAAAAGCGGCATATAGGGGGCTACTAGGATGCTGGTAAAGTCCTATTTCTTAATCTGGAAGCTGGTGATACAGATGTTCACTTAACTAAAATATTTATTATTTATACATTTTTTCAGTATGCATTTCATACTGTAAAACACATATTTAAGATAGAGCACTAATCTCCAGGATATATAAAGAACTAAAAAAACTTACCATCAAAAAAATAAATAACCTGGGCTGGAGTATGGGTCAGCGGCAGAATGCTCAACTAGCACATGTGAGGACCTGGGTTCGATCCTCAGCACCACATAAAAATAAATAAACTAAAGGTATTGTTTACAACCAACTACAACTAAAAAATAAATATTTAAAAAAATAACCCAATTTCAGGGCTGGGGTTGTGGCTTAGTGGTAGAGTGCTCGCCTAGCACGCACAAGGCACTGGATTCGAACCTCAGCACCACTTAAATTTAAAATAAAGATATTGTGTCCATCTAAAATTTAAAAAAAAAAACCCAATCAATAAATGGGCTAAGGAACTGAATAAACACTTCACAGAAGAAATACAATCGATCAACAAATACATGAAAAAATGTTCATCATCTCTAACAACTAGAGAAATGCAAATCAAAACTACTCTAAGAGGGACTGTGGTTGTGGCTCAGTGGTGGAGTGCTTATCTCACATGTGTGAGGCACTGGGGTTTGATCCTCAGCACCACATAAAAATGAATAGATAAAATAAAAGTATGCATCTGTCTACAACTAAAAAGCATACAAAGATTTCATCTCATTCCAGTCAGAATGGCAATTATTAAGAATACAAGCAATAATAAGTGTTGGCAAGAATGTAGGGGGAAAGGTATTCTCACACATTGCTAGTGGGACTGCAAATTGGTGCAACCATTATGAAAAGTGGTATGGAGATTCCTCAGAAAACTTGGAAAAGAACCACCATTTGACCCAGCTACCTCACTCCTCGGTTTATACCCAAAGAACTTAAAATCAGCATACTACAGTGACACAGCCACATCAGAGTTTAGAGCAGCTCCAGTCACAATAGCTGAACTATGGAACCAACCTATGTGCCCTTCAACAGATGAATAAAAGAAAATAAAGAAAATGTGGTACATATACACATGGAATATTACTCAGTTTTAAAGAAGAATGAAATTACGTTATTTGCAGGTAAATGGATGGAACTAGAGAATACCATGCTAAGTGAAAAAAGCCAATCCCCAAAACCCAAAGGCTGAATGTTTTCTCTGATAAACAGATGTTGATCCATGGGAGGGTTGTGGGGAGGTAGGGAAGAATGAAAGAACTTTGAGAGCTGGGGATATAGCTCAGTTGGAAGAACTTTGAGTTGAGGAGAGGGGTGGGACGGTGGAGATGGGAAGGACAGAAGAATGAGACAGACATCATTACCCTATATACCTTTATGATGAAAAGTCAAGTGGATAGTCCAATCAATATAAATGGACATAAACAGGTAAACATACCTCTTTCATAATCATTCTAACCTTAAATAATTCCCTTTGTAAATCATTCTAACCTTAAATAATTCCCATTTTTGTATTCTATGAATATTGTGTAGTTTACAGAGAAATTTTGTAATTAAAAATCACATAGTTAAATTTATCTATTTGATATGCACATACTCCCAGCTACCACTCTCATATTTTCATCTGTCAAGTTAGGTCAGTACTGAACCGCTGAACTGGGTAACAAAAAATGCTGAATTACAGAGTAATTGGTTATAACAGAAATTCGATCTAACAGGCTATAAATATTATCTGAAGAAGAGTTGGGAGTCTTAAGTCTAACCTGTTTCATGAAATGGGTGTGGACTTTACACTATAAAATAAAATAATGCCAGATACCATAAATAGTGTTAGCCTACACAAAAAATATAAGCACTACCTCTTCTATTTATTTTCATAAAAAACCCTGAAGGAAGCACAGCTGGATGGATTATGTTATTTTACACATGAGGAATTGAGACTCAGGGATACCACATAATCTCATAACCTTTGGACAAGTATCCAAATCTTTGTTTCAGCACATACTGTCAATGCTCCAATTTTCTCTGAACTTTCAAGTCCTATTAAAAAATGGCAACACACTATCTACCTGCTGCTACACAGACTTTTTAGGAAATAATAGCCATAAGCCCACGTGGAAAGAAGCTGAATGATACAGATCATTCAAACATCAGTTGTGGGATCATTATGCCGCAGACACTCCTGGTTATTTCTTACCTTAGCCAGTCTAATTTTCATGAATTAAAGGATCATAATATTAGGATGGGGAAACACCTTGAAAGACATTTGCCAGTTACTTATCTAGTATCTTTTTCTCCCTTTTTCATTACCAACATAATCTCTCCTTTATTTCAGGTGACACCATGCCCACCTTGGGAAAAGAATACAATTTCTGAATTCCTTCAGCTAAGAGAACAGTGTGCCATGTCCTGGTAAGCATGTGAAAATGGAAGTCTCTGGACGAGGTTTCCAGGAAAAGCTCACTAGAGAGAGGATTGGCCGGCAAGAGCCTTCAGCTCTGTGCCTCCCCTTCCTCTTGTGTAGAATGTAGAGGTCCTAATGGGGAAGTGACCATCTTCAGATCCTGAAACAAAGAGGACTGATTTCATGTGGAGCAACGAGGAAGAGGGGAAAAAAAAGAGAGTTGAAGACCCTGACGGCAGTAGCACCATATCACCTAAGAACACCTTATGTGGCCCTTTTTACATGAAAAAAAAAAAAAAATGAAGGCCCTGTTTGCTCAAGCCACACTATGTGGGTTTCTCTTTATGAGCAGCTGTCTGCAATTCCTAAACAACACACTCACAATTCCACAAATGTATGTGAATTGTAACTTGTCCTATCACGATTGTTCTTTACACGTGTACGTGTATATATTCATTGGACAGTCTTAATCCTGGCATAAACTTTCATATTTTGATGATCTTCTCTAACAGTAACAAAGAATAAATGAGGTACGGGGCTGGGGATGTGGCTCAAGCGGTAGC